CATGACCTGGGGTGTGTTTGAAAATGTAGGCTGATTAAAAAAAGTAATTTGAATCTTTGCTAGTGACCTTACTAATTAATTACCCACTGTTTCCCATTCTCTGTGCTGCAGGTTGGAGCTGACCTGTCATCAGTCTGCTGTATAATAAGCTATGGCAAACTACAAAGCTTTTACAACAGCAAAGCAACATCATGCTTTCAGATAAGTTTTATAGCAAAAAACTCCTCCTTTTCAAAGCCTTAGTAATACCTATCTCTTTTACAAACTTTTCCTGTATTATTACAGACTTTTTATATTCAAAATAAGTTCCAAGGATTTCTTTCGTGGACTATGTACATAAGTGCAAAAAAGGTGTGTCTCACACATTCGTACACTAACTGAATCAGTTTAACTGCAGCATATTTGTATCTTCAACACTGTTACGGGGTCATTCCACAATATTTTTTTTCTTATGTACAGTTTTTGCTAATATAAATTAGTATTAAAATAGTTATATGCTTAATTATTTAGCCCTGATCGTAACATAATCGTGTGAGTGCTCAGTTTCTGGAGAAAAGAAAATTGCAAGCAAAGCTACAGTACTGAAAGGGATTAATTCTGAATTCCCACCGGGTGAATGGATGTGAAATGAAAGCAAGACCGGTCACTATGTCGTAAGAACAGGCTGCCGTGTTTCCGAAGTGAAAATACTGTGGAATAACCCTTGCCACACAACAATTTCTACAAGCTATAAAACCTGACTCTAAATCCATGTGTTGTAAACTTCTTGACTGAAAAAGTGACCTTAAAGACACAAATTCAGCGTTCACATGGGACTTTGGGATTTTAAAAATATTCAATCATATCTTTATCTGACAGTATCGAACTGTACCTTTAACAAGCTCATACTGTTACACATCACTTTTAATTTACATGTGAAAATTTCACAAATAATGTATACAAAGGTAGCCATGTTGTAGTTTTGTTGCCATAGCAACAACAACTTAATATAATTAGTTAACAATGAATCTATCATTGTAGGAGTTACATACAAAGTTAATTTTGTTCTTAAACTGTAAACTATACAAACTAGTTATGGACTGTATTCTATACCTTACCATGCTTCAGTGTTGGTTTAGAATATAACTAAATGGGTTGAATACATGTATTAAAAACTTTAAACTTTCTCTAACTCTCCTTCAAAATTAAATTCATTAGTTACTAAAGATATCAAAAAAAGCAATAATGAAAACCTTGAAAACTAATGGTAGAGAAATGAAAATATATGACATGAATTAATGCGTTGTAGCCTAGTAACAATGTGTTGTAGCTCTATTTACATTTGGATTAGGCTATCAACTATTTTTTTTCTTTTTAAAGTTATTACAGTCTTTAACATACAGTATATACTCTAAGGCCTTCAACAGGCACGTGGTAAAATCAGGTCAATATCAAACTAAATCCATTCAACAGGAATGGGAAATTAAGATTTTCCTCATAAATTTCACCTTTTTCAATTCTTGCCTTCTGTGAAATGTACAAGGGATAAACGAAACGAGGGCTCCAGTTTCTCAAGCGCTGTGTACCCGCGTGTCCTAGCGCTAGACTCCTCCTCCCATGAGCCACAGGGACATGTCCCATGGCACCCGCGGATGGACCCACCGCGCCTGGCGCGGCCGTTCAGGAACACTCCGAGAGCAGGGTGGGACAGAGAGCAGGGAGAGAGGGATGGAGGGAGGGATGGAAGGAAAACACCTCGGAGTGCTCGGGAACGGGGGGCCCTGCGCGTGCTGGCCAGGGAGGTACCAGTTTCTAGAACGTTGCGATGCAAAAAAATACACAGTCAAAAAATCATCAGCTAGAAATTTCCAACTTAAAAAAATAACCCAAAAAAACCAACCACGGCTGATTGTGAAATCATGTTCCAAATTACTAAAAACACTGTATTTAACAAAAATAATCTTAATAGTTTTATGAATCCATTTTATTTTAAATCCCTCTTTTATTGTCTGCTTATGTTACAGTTTAGTAGTAGTACCTTTTATTGAAACTACTAACAACCTTTTTTTCATGAAAATGATCAATCTCAGCTTTCATTTTCCCTCTGCATGACCCGTTTTATCCAAGTTTCAGCATTTCTTGCATATTGTTTGCATAAGGCTGAGAGAAATGGACAAAGAGAAATAACTTTGGATAAATAAAAAATATAGGTTCATGGAAAGTGGGAAGCTTATAAAAATGTCACTAAAATTATATCGATTTAAACAAACTTACATACATCTTTTGTCAAATAAAGGATGATATTCATGCTTTTATGACATTTGTTTAGAGTCACTAACTAGTTCGGTGACTTTGTAATAGTCTATTTAGGAAATTTATAGTCTGGCGACTGTTTTTTTTTCTTTTCTTTCTTGAACAAAGAAAATTAGAGCAAGTCATTGCACAACTAGTTTAAATAGTGCTACCTCAAAATGGCATTTTTGCCGAGATTGTTTTGAATTTGGTGAAGTTTAGTGCTTCAAGCTTTTCTTTCCTTAAACTCATTTACAAATTAACTCTAAATTTGCCAGCAATATAAAAACTGTTGTGGCACCTAATATAACTACCCTGAACATCCCTCATTGGACCTCTTTAATAAAAAATAATCCTTAAACGCCTTTTTTTTTCAGTGCTTTAAATGTGACATGAAAACAGCTGTATTCTAGGTTTACATTCTATGCACATCTATGCCAGATGTTTAAGTCGATAAATAAAATAGGAGGTTACATCAAAGTGTCAAGATATACAAAAATCCATTTAGCACTGAAAAAATTTCAACCTCCTTGAACTCATAAAGCCATACAAGCTTGAATGCATCCTTTCTGGCTTAAGAAGATCAGCTCTGTTCTTTGTTGAGGCACTGGCACAGGTTGTGCAAAACCCATTTTTGTTACACAAATAATTTCAAACAGGAAGTACTCAAATCCACTTTTTCCACTAACAATGTTATGGTTTTGGGAAACAGAAACTCAGTGGTGAAAAGAACAGGTATGTGGTCGCCAATACAAATGAGAGTCACTGATTTCAGACAATGCCACTGCTTGTGAGAGCAGATGGCTGTGGAACATCTATGGACACTGGTGGCTGTCAAAACATGGGGTCCATAAAGGAGGTCTTGGGAGAGGGATGTTTTATCCCTCCCTCTCAGGGTTTGGTTCAAAGTCTGATGAAAGGAACAGAGACATTCCTTCTGGCTCAAGGCCTTTTTGAGCTGGACTTTCAAAGGTTCATGCTATGCATGAGTCTCCATGGGCAGATGTCAGAACCTGCTCTAGGGTGCGCAGGCTGCACCCTAGATGTTCCTCCATCACTTGTGGCCCATGGAGATACACATCTAGCAAACTACCTGTGCTCACGCCGGAGGAGAGGGGCAAGAAAAGTCTCTAACCAGGCCAAAAAACCTTGAAAAAGAAAAGAATACGTGGTTGTCGGAATTTGGCACCCTACAGGACCACTGTGAGCTCGGGGTGGCCAGCACTCCAGACGCTGGGAGCTGGCCTCCTGCTTGGTTTCAATGACAAGTCTCTTTCTCCTTGTATGAAGTTTGCGGATTTCCAGCAGCAAATCCATCTCTTCCATAATGCCAATGATACTGTAGAGCTATGACAGGGATGAATTTGGCTGTATCCTCAACCAAAATGCATTCTGCAGCCAGATTGTTCAGCAACGCAGCATAACGACAGGCTGGGCTGTCCAGGGTGCACGGGCTGGAAATACTATTCGTGCGTATGAAAAGGAGGTATTGAGAACTAGCCCTTGTTGTGCAGCAAACATTGCTCTTGATCAAGTAGAAGGTGCCAAAATAAATCCACTGACCTACAGGAGCTTCATTAAGATGAATGTTTACCTATGGCAGAAAGCTTATGCTGAGCTTTCTCCTGCTTTGTTACTGCTGTGTTTGCTTTAAAGGGCCAGAGATCATGGAGGAAAAAAAAAAATCACTCACTTAGGGAAAATGGTGATTAAATAATTGGTGCATGCTGACAAAATTTCAAGAAGAGACACATAAGATTTCAGGCCGAAATGTTTCAGCATGCTTGGTGGAGACAAGCCCCAGGGCTCCGTACTCTCCAGCCTGGGCTGAGCCATGGCCATGGGCCCTTCCAGCTAATGGTTGGCATCTGCTCCTCTCCAACCCAGTGAGGCTTTGCCCAACTGAAGCTGTGTCATTTCACCACCTTTTTTTGTTGGTTGTTTTGACTGCACCATGAGAACAGCGAGAGAGATTGTGCGCCGTTTGCAGCTGAGAATGCACTTCAATGGACAACAGAGCTGCAGAAATTCCTTGATGCTTACCATGTCTGAGCAAATTGTTCCTGTCCCCTTACTGAGCCTGGGCTTTTGTGAGTTGTTTTTTTTTTCCAAAAGTTTCCAGAATCAGCTCATTGTATTGAAAGAAATACCCTGAACTGGACTAAAATGACAGCTATCCTTTCATATCACTTGTACTAAAAATTTGGAGACTCTATCTGAAGGCAAATTTTAAATGATAAAAGGAGCATTTAACACAAGCAACTTTAGCTGACATTAACAGCAAAATCCAGCAAAGGGCAGAACATTCCTGTGTCGTGTTTTTCAAGCACATAATTCCTGTTTCCCACAATAACATTTTTAGTAAAAAACAAACATAACCCCATAAAACCTACAGTATATGAAAACTTAAGACATAACAATAATGAAAAAATGGTATTGAGTATACTTGATAATGATGTACACTTTAAAACAAATCAATAGACTATGATGTAAACAAAACAGTAAGATAACACTTTAAAAACAAGACAAACATTTATCCATCGATAGTATACAGTAAACCAACAGTCCGCTGTGCAGATGCACTTATCAGGATGGTAGTCATAAAATGATTAAGTGTGTTAAAGTAATGTGTTATAAAAGTCTATTATAATTTCCTACTTGTATATCTCATATAACAGAGCGCTGTTTGTTAATTGTTTCCTATAGTGCTTTTTTTTTTCTTTTTTTTTTTTTGACATTCCCATTGATCAGTTTTTGGTTAACATGTAGGCTGCAACAGGCTTACTGTAGAGGTGGTAGAGAACGATAGAGGGAAGAGGGGATATATACAGAAAGGCCATGCGCAGCTTCCCACCAAGAAGTCCTGGTGCTCCATAATTTTACTGTTCAGAATTTCAACATGGTCTGCTGCAGGGGAAAGAAAAACAACAACAAAGAAACAGTGAGAAGTTAATACATCTATATTTCAAAAGTCATTCTAATAAGATGCGTTAATGCCCTCACTGCGTTGCCCAAGAGGTTGTCATTAGTATGTTGTAGAGGGAAAACATTTTGTTCCATTAATTTTCTGATGTAGGGTGAAATTGCTAATAACACCCTTGGCATCCTCTTAAATCTGCACTCAGGGCTTTCCATTTCCTGTGTGCTTCACACACACTGACAGGACAAAGAGTCAAAGAGGGAAGTGGGCAAAAAATGGTCTGATTTTTGGACAGGATGCCAGGTAAAAAATGACTAAGGAGAAAGCCAAAGGAATCCCTGATCCATGTTAACTCCCATTTCCTTTGGACAGTCACATTAAATCTGATCCTACAGAGCCATGAGCCAAAGGTGAACTGAGCCCAAAGACAAAACGGATACAGAAACCCTCCACTCAGGAGACCCTCTTCAGGGAGCAAATTGGTTCTTAAGGGACCCTCTTCAGGGAGCAAACTGCCTTTCTTGGGATGCACCTGTGAAAATCCTCCCCGAAGGACTCAACACTTTTCTCCTGCAGAACTAGACTAGCCACCCTGGCTACCAGGACCTTGTCGGACATGGAGTAAAAAGAAAACATCTGCCAGAGCAGCAAATGTTTCAGTTACCCAATTCCCACTCAGGGCAGCTTTGGGAATTGCCCCTCAGCACTGCAGAATTGCAACCATGGTCCTTGTCTGGCAAAACACTTTGAGCACATGCATAGTTTCACATGCTCAGGTGGCAGCAAGAAACAACATGTCCTCGAGAGATTGGCAAACCTTTAGTTTATGCATAGACATGGGAGGTGACAACATGGGAATGGGATCAAAACATCTGTGAACACTGGGGATGCTCAGGCCATAGACAGCCCTTTTCTACCAGCCTCCAACGGTGGTTTGTGTCCCCACAGCTGTGAGATGGTAAGAGGACAAGTGCTTTGGGCAGAGCAGGGGCTCACACATCAGCTCACATTGCCCTTGTGAGGAACAGGCTCCCTGTCCGACCCAGACCCATCCATGTCCAGTGGCCTGATTCCCAAGAAATCCCATAAAATTCAGTATGTCAACCCTACTTATTTCAAGCAAAGGTTTTCCATGGTCCTTAACAGCATGGCTGATGCTTTGTTTAACAGACTGTGCCATGCTCCCTATTTACTGAAGAAACATGTCCCATGGAAGTTCCTTGTCTAGTCTGAATCAGTCAATCACTATTAACAGTGTGACTTTAAGCACACACACAAATAAAAGTGAAAGAATTCAGAAAAAAAAGAAGCTTCCTGAAACAAATGCTGAAAACATACTCAAAGAGTTCAAGAATGAAGCTCTTCTAATGCAAATGATCTCCTTATCGTGTGGAACAGGCTGTTTTACACACGTTGTGGAAATGGGTTAACATGTCAGGTGTCATGTCTGTCTGTCTGTTGTTTGGAGAGCAGTATACTGTATGCTGAATATTTTCACTACGGGGATAGCTTGGTGTCACCCCTACATGAACAGGGTCCGTGGCCACAGTTAGCAGGTCATGTATACATAACGTACTTAATTAAAGTCAGCAGAGATAAGGGCCACCACTGAGAAAAGTAACTTCTGTTGATTGCTAATAGATATCATTACAGAATTGCTTGCCAAATTAATTTCCAGCATTTAAGTACTTGCCCGTAATATGTGACCTAAGGAAGAAATGGGTTGCATCTCTTTATACTAAATGGCTTGCATTGAGAAAATCTGGTGACCTCTTGTTGAATTGGCTGAACTGCTCTTTACTCTCTTGGGGTAAAAAGCCCACAGCGATGAACTGAACCTCTCAAGGGATTTTTCTCTCATGAACATCCATTAACACCCCCCAATAAAAGCAATGGAAAAATGACAGTGCTGCTACAGC